ATTTCACTTTAATATCTTTATTTATGGCTTAGTTATGACACTTTATAGGTTTTCGGGTTTCGCCATTTGTGGGCGTGGCAGTGGGCCGATTTTGGCATATGTATATAGTGATGAACGAAAATATTGGCAACACTTTCTTTGCATATTTCCCCATTAAATAACTGCTTGATTAAACCCAATGACCAAAAGCAGCCAAACAACATCAACTTGGAAAAAAAAACAAATATAATTAATACAAAATAARCTGTAAAGGAAAGAAAATATTAAAACCCCTCTAAAAGTATTTTTGAAATTAAGCAGGACCTCGGAATAGATATTCACTCCACAACGGTGTGACGAGTCTTACTGTAAAGACCATTTCTTGAACATATTGGGATAATATCGAACTWAAAAACTCTTCTACGAACTTTAGCAGGGGAATTCCATACAAAGTTTTCAGGCCATTTTCATGTCCATTCTTCAATCGTGTAGCTTTTTGAGATCACTGAATACGAATCTAAAGTTTAGAACATAAAAGGTTTACCTTTCGGAAGAGAAGACACTCAACATCCCTTGTGGTACGAATCAAATCTAATATTTAGTATTAAAATTTCGTAAAATGAGCTATAGCGAGAGTTGTTTTATTACAGCTTACTAATTTAAATAAAATTTAAAATATCTAAAACCGTATAAATTTGCTCTTATAAATGATATTTTTAAAAAAACCAAAGGGATAATACAAATAATATATTTCATAATTTAACAAAAAATAAGTAAATAACACTACCGAACAAAACTGAAGGCAAAATGTGGGGTTTTTGAGCTGTTCTGAATACGAATTTGAGGTCAAAAATTTTGCATCATGTACAGTTATTTTCGTAATTTTAGTAAATGGTGGTGGTGGCCCCCTACAACCCCCGACTATAACACAAAAAATCCTATTGAGCTCCTGTTAGGATGTGTTTACGATCATTTTTCTCTTAGCAGCCTAAAAGAAGTAAGAAACAGCGTCAAATAACATAGCTGCAAAATGATTTGTAAACTAGTCTAATTAGTGCTTCCAACTTTCTCCTGTTCAGTCCACAACTCAGATTTTAAAAAGCTGTGTCTCGAACTTTGGCTTTTATAACTAGCTTTAAMTCTAGAGCATAATTCAAAACTAATAAAATCTGTTTGCGGCAATTAAAAGCAGCATTTTTAGCGACAAGTAAACATTTTCATTTACAAAGAGCGGGCAGTAAAATTATTTTCAAGGATCCGATGTAAACAGGTGCAACAAAGCGAATTCACCTTATAAAGAACAAAGCTGTTGCAAAAATAATTTTTTCCTCCTTATGAACCAGACATTTTGAATAAACTTATAAATAAGCTGTTATTATATTCTGAACCCCATGAGRCCATAAATAAATCTGATATTGGTTATGAGTATAATTACGTTTGATATTGACGTTAAGTTGACTATATTAAGAATTTTTTGCTTGAACTAAATTATTTGGTAAGTATATCTGACTGAAGAAAGGTTTTATTTAATGTTTATTGAAGAATGAATTTAATGTATATATAATACATATTTATATCTTTGCTAAGAGTGCCTAAAATGAAATTGAGAACTTGAGATTTTAAGAAATCCTACTATTGGAAATAATTTTTCGTACTTCCGGGAAATTCGCAATAGTCCAATSCATCTAAGATAACTAAAAAAATTTATTTTAAGAACTTTGTGCTTAGCGAATTATGAGTGGCTACAGCTAGCATGTCAGGATGGTGAGATAATGTCGGCTAGCATCAATATACTGAGGACCGTTTAAGCAAAAGGTTATTAGATAAAGTAAAAACCAACTTATATTATGAAAAAGTTACATTGAGTTTGCCAKGAAGATTGTAACACCCAGAAGCAAACTTCGGAGRCTTGGAAAAGTATATAAGAATATAYATATGYAAACGATCAGCGTGACGAGTTGGGTTGATTTCGCCATTTTCGTCGGTGAATTAGTCTCTCTGATCTGAAATTGCGCAGACGTTCTCTTCTCTCGGAGAAGATACGATTTCTCGGAATGTTACAATCTCCACAGAAATTCTTGAAGTCAGAGCACTATACCATAAAACGGTTTATCTAACTGACTATTTCAAAACCTAGATAAAGATCTTTATAACATATCATTTACCCTCATTTGTTAACCTTAGTTTGACATAAATCGGTTTTTGATGAAAGCAAACTTTCAGATTTGGTTTTACGAGTTTTATAGTCTATAGCTTTGGTGCAACCGAAATAAMMTTTTTTCTTGTTTTAAAATAATGTCGTCATATAATATTATARATACTCGCAAAGCACTTCTTAACTAAACTAGTAACAGYAATCGATTCGTAAGGCAAATAGTCCATTTTAGGAATCTCTGAATCTTGGCTTAAGTCGTCCGACTTTTAGCTCKTTTCCTATCCGAGCGATTAATCACTTTTCAAGAACCATGTACACTTTCGCTATTATATACATATGTATATAGTATATAATAATATACACATTTAGTTAACGTTTTCTGTCTCAAAACTATGTTTCTTACACTGATGACAACTGTAACTCGAGAACCGCTCAGTAAATTTTAATAAAATTTATACAGCTTTTAGAATACATAATAAAATCGGGCCTGATCGAAGGATTTTTTTTTTTAATTTCGTTTTTTTAAGACCAATTAACTGTTAATTTTTTCCCAAAAATGTAGAAAAATTTTTCTGAGGCCGCCACTTTGTTCATTTTTGAAAAAACAAAAATCCTTCGATCAGGCCTGAGTTTATCTATTTATAAAACTAATTTTTTATGCCCGATTGATTTTAGATGAATCTTCAAGGAGTAATGGTTGTCACCGCTGGTACATTTTTTTGGAACTGGGTCAACACAAATAACTATAACTTTGGAAATAATTTTTTTTTTGAAATTTTCATGACTTTAAGTCAACATACTCTATAATAATGTCCGTTACTACTTTCGTAAAATAACACGATTTAATAGCGTGCCACTGACTACCCCTAACTCCTTAACTCAATTTAGTATATTTCAAGCAGAGGTTTTCGGAAATCTGCGGTGCTGGCCTCTAACGCAAAGCAGGTAACTCTAGTATTAACATATATTAGTACTCGGCTAAAATTATCTAGAACAGCAGAGCGGCGTTACAAACTAACTTTACTTCTACATGGTGTCCGATCTCACGAAGCTATCGAGTGTAATGACTTCGTGGACGAGATTGCATAGATTGGTGTACGGGTATCGTGCAGAAATCCGTGGAAGTTCGTGTGCTAGCATCGTTAAGGATGACCACTCCGTGTGGACTACGAAACGGAACTCCATCTGGTAGCTCTAAGAACCAAAACTGGTTTATTCGTGASTTATTAGTTTACCAGACTAAACTAATGTACTCAATGATGTATTAGATGCCATGAGTAAATGTTTAATGAAGATATAAGAGCCGGCATGCTGTTGCTCTTAACATGGTTATAAAGCAGTTCAGCAAAACTGTTTGAATATTGATATATTTGGTCAACCCAATTCGTCTATTATTCCTGCCCTATCATATACTTGTATAGAGCCACAGATCTTATGAACTGTAATTGTCATTTCTTTATACATTCCTTTGGTATTACTGAACACTCTATGGTCTTTTAATATTAAAAGTATATTATCAGCTGCGACCTAAAATAAATTAGATATTGATTCCTCTAGATATAGTAATTATACAGTAGATACGCAGTTTGTTATGACATGTCACTTCAGCTTTTTCAATGGCTTAGCAACATTTGATACATATCTCCACTAAGTAATCTTAAGGGAACTAGATGTAGCTGGATGTAATGAATTTTTAGTAGGAACTACTAATCTGAGAAAAGTAAGGTTTGCCTTCAAAGGGACGACGCCTGGGTATATCTAATGATATTAAAATTAAATAATTTTCACTGAGAGTAGTATTTGAAAAAATATAATTATCAGTTCACATTTTTACAAATCAACTTTCTACGGTAACGCGTTCCGCATAGATCTCTTCAACTTTTGAAGTCCTGTCATGTATGGTCAAAACCTTTTGCTTCCATATTTTATATATGAAGCTTACAATTCATTCGGAATTCGGAAGAAATTAAGGAAAAKATAGCAATCTTAGAAAAAATGTACTTTTTTCTCAGCCTCAAGGAACATTAATAAATTATAAAATGTCTTCCTGGTAACCGAGTTATAAATTTCGTTATCTGGTTTGATGTCGTTTTTTCGTTTCTCAGCATCAAAAACACAAATGGCGCATCTCTTGACTGAATGAAATGCCGCTGAGCAAATAAATATCGCGCGGTATCTCGAAGTAGTAGTTAAAAAAAATATTCATTCTTAATTCTAAACTCTTTTGTGCACTTTTTATGATATTTTCGTGTRGTGACTACAAAAACAAAGTACATTTTATAAACAGAGTAAGTTTACTGCAGCTGAGTATAATGCGAAAAGTGACACAAAAGCAAATAAGATAATGAGTTGAGGAAAGATAAAGCCTATTGAAGTCTATACATACATAATATTATATATAATAAGTAATATATATTTATTCATAAAAATGTAAATACAAAAAGCACGAGCGAGTCACACTTGATGCAATCGAAAGTGGCTAACTGACATTAAGGTGCGTGCTCTCGCTAATCCGGTAACAAGTTGTTATTGTCGCAGGAGAGTTTATGAGATTATGCGCTCTCGAAAGCTCTACGCGTGGCTGTGCAACAAATAAGGTTACGACAAGCTAACTGTTCTCACTGAAACGTTGAGAATAAAGAGCCAGAAGAAGAAAACTTGGAAATGAAAGTTGTCATTGTTTGATTACTCACCTGAACAGGTGCTGGTGCTGACACGATCGCTTCGGCACCGCTTGCACTCTCTACGCCGCTGAGTGGTGAGCGCGGTCGCGCTATGGCTGCTGTTGTTGCCGTTGTTATTGGTATTGACGCGGTAGCCACAGATGTTTGCTTTCGACTGGGCGGCGCTGGTAGTAGAGTGGCGGGGGCTGACCGGTTTGCCGGAGTTGGCGTCGTCGCTGTTAGTTCTGCAGCCAGCCCGTCTCGGCCGCTGCTACTGACGGTGGTGGGGCTAATGCGTGTGGCATTTCCTATGTTATCATCGCCGTTGGTGTTTCTATTGTTGTTGGCATTTTTATGGGACGCCTCGTCATCGTCGAATCTAACCCAGTTTTGTTTGCTACCGGCAGCATCGTCCGGCACATCCAAGGCGATATCCTGCAGAGGATGTGAGACGGCAGTCGGTTGTGTGGGCGCTTGTTGCTCACCGTTATCGGACATGTTCGGTAGTCTATTGGTTGTGTAATGTTGGTGAATGTTTTTATAATTTTGCTGTGTACTTATTTCGTATTTTCTTAATTTTTGCTTTGGTTATTTATGCGTTTTGTATTGTTTTTTTCTTATTTTTATTCGCTTTGGCTTCGCAGTTTCAAGCTAAATAACACGGTTATAATAGCTTTCAAAAACAACTTGTGCTATTTCATTTATTCACTTGTATTTGCTTYTGTTATCTGAAATATTTCATACACATATATATTTATTTGACCTTTTCTTTCCTTCTCTAGGTAATTGTTTTATCTTATTTGTCTTTGCTTGTGCGCATAGACATGTGAGACAATTATTATTATTWTTTTTTTTTAATTTCCTTTTTCGTTTCTATTCTCTGCACTAATAACTACAGAAGTTGTGTAAAGAAAAAATGCCAGTTTTTAATTCCACAATTTAGAATATTAAACTTTTAAAACAACCATTAGACTAGCTATATAGCCGGGCACCTAGCCTTACGATTGTGAACTAATGAGATCCAACTATTTAAACGAAAAAAATTTTAAAATACTCAGTAAATATGTATATATAGATAATTATATAGACATAATCTGAACTTAACCTTGAATATGTTGTTGTTTAATATATAGAAATAGAAGGAGCGTAAAAACATCACAAGCAATTCTAGTTTATAATAATTATATAGAAAGGTTATCATGATTTCACAAAGTCGAGATTCTTTAATTCTCAATTAAGACGTCCAATACAGAGCCAAATGTTAGGATTCTAACAAGTCACTCTTAATGTTGCTTCCACATAGACCTTTAACAAAAGGAGTCACCTTCAAAAAGTAGTCTGGAGTAAAATTATTCCGGTGGTCAGTTGGCGGGTGGGGTCTCAATAAAATGATGGTTTCACGTACTGTGTAYCGGCATGCTGGAGTAATCAACTCTTAAACGGTAGCTTCGTCATATATCTYATGCAGCTCATCGCTCCATCGAATGCGATATTCATCGTGGCCAACGCGTCAAGGACCATAAATATTTCGCAGAACCTTTCTCTCGAAAACTCCTAAGGTCGACTCATCAGTTGTTGTCATCGTCCAAGCCTTTGTCTTTGGGAATAATGAGTGACTTATATAGTTTGTTTTTTGTTCGTCGATAGATGACTTTGCTTCTCAATTGCCTACTCAGTTCGAAGTAGCACCTGTTGGCAAGAGTTATTCTGCTGCTGTTTATACTGGTTCCCAAATAGACGAAATTATCTACGACTTCAAAGTTATGACTGTCGACAGTGACGTGAGAACCAAGTCGCGAGTGCGACACCTCTTTTTTTTTGATGACAGGAAATATTTCGTGTTGCCCTCGCTCACTGCCAGACCCATTTGCTTTACTTCCTTGACCAGTCTGGAGAAATCAGAACTAATGGCGCGGGTGTTGAGGCCAATGATATCAATATCATCGGCATTCGCCAGCAGTTTAATACTCTTATAAAAGGTTGGACCTCCTCTATTAAGTTCTGCAGCTCGCATGATTCTCCAGCAGCAGATTGAAGAAGTCGCAGGATAAGGAGTCGCCATGCCTGAAACCTCGTTTGGTGTCGAACGGCTCGGAGAGGTCGTTCCCAATCCTAATGGAGCTTTTGGTGTTGCTTTACCAAAAACAAAGACAGCTCCTTTTCATGCTGTCGAAAGCAGCTTTGAAATCGACGAAGAGGCGATGTGTGTCAATTCTCCTTTCACGGATCTTTTCCGAGATTTGGCGCCTGATGAATATCTGGTCGGTCTTTGTTTTGCCAGGTTAAAAGCCACTGATAAGATACTAATGTACTTTAAAAGTCGAATACTTGAACCGAATATAGTTACAAGTTAACACTTGAAGAGTATGTAATTGCACCCGGTGGAGCATTTTATAGTGTAATTAAAGCAAAACTGTAAATGGATAGTTCTCATACTATACTCGTTAATACAAGTATATATCATATCTTTAGCCAATTAATATGTTTATATATTTTTATGAACTTTGGTGCTTGTTGAAGCTTTTAGGAAAACAAATATACGGCAATGAAGCTTAAATAGCAGAGGGGACTACAACGCCTAGTTAAATATAATGTAACGTAATGTCATTGATATCCTCAGTCTTTCTATTTAGAAATAATAAGCAATATTTAACAGGTCAATCGAAAAGTCCTGGTCCTGCCATAGTAAAACACATTTTCAACGGTGATACACTGATTATAGCGATCCTTCAACTTTTCGTTATTATTTCTGTAGTACGGATTGTCGCTTCGGCGATCACCTCTTCATTCTACGAAAATTTCTTCCMAGCGGAYATTTCTTCAAAATCTGAGAACAAAAAATAGTCGCTGGAGGTCAGATCTGGAGATTATGACGGATGCGGAAGCAATTCGAAGCYCAAYTGATRGATTTGTGCTATGGTTTTCATTGACCTGYCACACGGTGCATTGGCTTGGCTTGGTATCACTTTCTTTTTCCCCAAATGCGGTCGTCATTCGGCGATTTCATTTTTAAACTAAATATTAGTCGCAGTTGATGGTTCTTCCTTTTTCAAAGTAGTCAACGAAAATTATTCCAAGCGTATCCTAAAATAAATACAAACAACATACCCTTGCCAGCCGAGCAGGTTTATCGTGTGCAGTTCACTCGGAYAACTGTCGATTGTGCTTCGAAATGAAATAATGGAGCCATGTTTTATCCATTCTCACATATTGGTGAAAAACTTGTGTTTATTATGTTTGAATAGTCATCTCATCGTATATTTTAATGTATATAACAATGGTATAACTCAATTAAGACTTGTATATTTGGCGGCTACAAAGAAGATCAGATAGTTCCTCCTAAATATAAAAAAAATACTGTTTAAAACCCTTTTTTGGTATACCGAGCAGACATATTAAGTTTTTCACTAAACTTGCAACACCTAAAAGACAACGTAGAGCACCCTATAAATATACATATATACCRTAGAAGTGATCAGAGATTTAGGCTGTGCAGATTTAGCCATATCCGTCTCTCARTTTTTGGCGCACATCCGTTGCTTACGTAAAAGCCGCTCATTTGTGGGCTGTTTTTGATTTGSTATGTTTTATTGTCGAAAATAACGATGTAATCTTCAAAGAATTGTTCAGACCGGATTACTAAAGCATATATCAGCCTCACAAACTAAACGGTCGGAACCAAGTGCGGAATGCAAAATAATTAGAAGTAATGTGAATTTAATTGTGATCCCCCGAGCTGTTTCCAGACTAATACACAAAAGCATAGTTTTTGTTTTCAGAACTTTGCTCAAATAGCATGCATAATAARGAATTAACTGGCATATATGTATTTTAGTTGTTTACTGGTTATTCTCATTTTCTGTTCAGGAATTTGCAATTAAGTTATATATAAGTGCGTTACATAAACAAGTACGAAAAACYTCAAAACAGATATTGCAGTTTTTTGTAAAATTATTTGGAATAACAGAAGTTTTTTTGATAAATAKTAATGTTTATATATAACTGTTAAACTTAAGTGACCAGTTAGATAACTACAACCAAKAACCTTTAGAGGAAACTAAATTAGTGATATTTTATGAAATCTTACTCAGAATCGTATGGGAAGTCTCGATACAATTTTATAAATTCACTTATCTAGTCGACAGTTATGTTTCTTCTTAAAAAGAGAAGTTGACCGCAAACGAGAATTGTACATATGTATAGGAGGTACAATAATAAAGCAGCTGTTGGCASCAATTTAAGATKCGCCTCGCGACCTTAAAACAGTTTGTGTCTAAAAGCACACTGTAAAAAAAATGTTGGTTAACGTTTCAAAAACTTGCCAAAACATTTGGTAGAAATTTTCCTCTTTTTACAGGCGCCTTAATAATGTTTCCAGAGCAATTTTTACTAATGGAAGTTTTCGACCATTTAAAAACAGTTAAGAAGCACTTGATGGGGCAGCATCAACGCTCTGGGTTCTTACATAGTTTGCCGATCGATGTTAAAAATTCTTGATAGTCACTACCTCAACTCTCTACAAAACTTATTTAGACTTCATGCTATCATTTTTAAGTGAGCAGGTTAAATTTGTCTTAAAGGGGAACCCGCTTTAGATGCTTAAAAAAATGTTTTTTTTAGGATAATTTTGGGAGGAAAGGAAATAATTGGTTAAAGCGAAATTTCTAGGGAATGAAATCTTTGATATTCTGCATTTCACATGTACATTTGTCGGAAAACGTCCTGCCCACAATTTCTATCGCAAACTAAAAATTCAAAGAGATTCATATTTGTTAATAACTTAGAAGATAAGTTAAACTAAAAAAATTCCAGAAAAAAAGGAAAATTGTGAAATTTTTTTTAAGTGGGTTTTGAACAAAAAAAATTTACTTCACGTTGTTTAAAAATATGTTCAAACTTAACTTTTCTTAGTTTTTTGCTTTAAAAAGAAATAATTTAATTCCAAATATAATAAACTTTGCCCCAATTCGATAGGACGTTTAGTTTTTTCTATCCTGCCCGCCAATTAAAAAAAATCGAAAAATTAAAAACCGAGTAATTACGCGTCAAAGTTTTCACTTCCTGSCAGAGCGCTCATACATACATATGTATGTATATCTGCTAGGCGATCGGTCACTCTTTCGCTTCTAGCTTCGAAAATATTTCGAATTCYCGTCTATAACTTTGGGGACATATTCTTAGATAATTTTTAAAAACATTTAAGCAAAAAACAAAAAATCGATTTTTTGAAGGTTCTAAAGTAGACGCCCCCCTTAATTTAAGAAAACATTTTTAATGTAAAATATAATTTCTATCACAAATTAATTAATTTGAAATATTTTTAGAAATTATTTCCCATATTTTTTATTCACACTTTTCCCTCCATTTTCATAGTCACATAACTTTCATAATATTTTTAGTAGATTTCACTTTCTGAAACTCATAGAAATTCTTTGAAGCYATTACCTGTTCATTAAATTGCTAGTAAAGCTTGCAGCATTGTATCTAACTATTTTCTCAACCTTCATTTCCATACACAGACCTTACTACACACATTCGCATTGTAGCTTTGATCACATCATACCTAACTATCTGGTATTTTGTTATAATATTTCTGTACGCTTTTCACGCTGTTTACACACGTTTTGCTTCYACTGATTTTCAATATTTTTACATCCACGTAGGCACTTTGAACTCAACAACTAGTATTTTGTAGTTTACACTTTCGACCATATTTCAAATTTAAATATAATATATTTTACGCGTTTATATTTCTCGTACAATTTGTTATACTTGCTTATATAAGCTTGCCTTGTGGCCTGACGGCATTTTCGAAATAAATTTATGAAAAACGGAAACACGCACAAAAAGCGAGTAGAACAAGCCACGAAAGGGAAATGAAATAAAGGTATATTCAAAAAAAGATAGACGTTGAGTGACGTACGCACACAACGCCAAAAACCGCTAGACACAACGCTTTTCCGAAAAGTGATACGCGTTTAAGCCAACAAAGCCGAAGCACAACTGAGCGCGACAAATGTGGCCGTAAAGCGGCACACCCAGCGCAACAAAGTCAAAAGCGTTGCTCCGCCATTCCAGCCAAGCGCTCAGAAGCTCGCCTAATCGTCACAAGTTTAATATTTACATTTACATGAGCATTGGAAGTGCCGCCACGCTCGCAAGCCTCTTTTGTGCKCGCTCTCCGATTCTCAGATCTTTGAATGACACACCACACCTTCGCTTTAGTTTTGAACGCAGTGCTACGCCAATTCATTTACGCTAAAAGCACGACCAACAATTTAATTGCTACCGCTCAGCGCGAGCAGTCCACCAACTTACCTTCGGTCTTGATATTAGCATGAAATTAAATTTACTTTTGTTTTTGAGCGGCTCATTTACCTGAGCGTGCCGCCGTAGCGTTATTCACCTACTGCCGGCTAAGCTGATCGCTTACCTGCTATGTAATCGACGTTCCGCTACATGTGATCGSCACTCGCTCTTTCGCTCCATTATTACTTCAATGCGAAGGTAGCACTGGTTCGACGTGGTAACAAGCACGAGGCTTATTGTTGCATGAAAGTTATTTTTGTTGTTCCTCCACTCGTTTGTGGCGTGTATGTACTTGGGTGTATTTAGCTATAGCTATCGGTCATTGAACGAAATTCAGTCACAATTTTGCATTTCTTTTATTATTTCATTATCTTTTGACCAATTCTTCAAAAATTAGGTCATACCAATTGAATGTTTAAGAGGGCACGTTCAATTTTGGGTACACATACATCCATATGTACATAAGCATGCGGTTTTTTGTAGATAAGTGTACGGATCTGTTTAAAAAATAAGTGCAATTTTCATTTGTTGAAACAAAAATTATTATTTTTTCTACATAAATATTGTTGCCTACAAAATGGTCATCATTCGATATCATGCACTTTGCCAGCGCTTCTTCCAATTGAGGAAAGATCTTTCAAACCTGACTTTTCGGATGCAGTTTAACACTTTCAACGATTGTCTGCGAACAAGTAACAAATTGATAGCTTCTGATTTTGACAATTGGAATTGTATCAATAGCAAGATTTTATATTTAAAAATGCAAGTTTTGGGCGCAAAATATTTCAGATACTTCGTTTCTCCATTCTAAAATTTATTAGATTAAACAATTGTTAAAAAAAAAACATTTAATTCAATCTTAGAATATCTTCAATTCTTCATACCAAAAACTGATTGCACGAAAGTGTTAATGAAGATAATGTTAGAATGGAAAAAAATTATTCTATACCCGTATTGCGGAAGGCTACTGGATTACCGTATATCCGCTAATAAATATAATAGTTACGTTCATAAGCATTTAAAATAATTTAGTAGATTTGAATTAATTTCTAAGTTTATTGTGACATTGAAATACTCAGTTACTCAAGTTGTTTAATATTCGCAATTAGAATTCAAATAATTATTTGCTAACTATCGATTTAAAAATTGCRCTGTTTAGGTACAATAAATACAATTATAATTTTGCTATAATTATCTTAGTGAGCGAATTAACAATGTAAATTATTAAACAAAAGGTAATGTAAAAAAATATTATTTGAAAAACTGAGAAAGTGTTTAAAGAGCAACTAAACGAGATATATATAGAGTTATAAATGTCAAGCAGTCGTGTTATTTTGGTTCAGTATTGACTGGAATTTCATCAAGGTGGGACTTACGCCTGAACAACGTTTACAAATCTTTCAGGTTTATTACGAAAATTCACGTTCTGTAAAGAATGTGTTTCGCGGCTTCGCTTAACTTATGGTCAACATAATCGGCCTACCGATCATACTATTTGCCACACCATCACCAATTTTGAGAYCCAGCATTCATTATCGGATAATATTTGACCGAATGGACAACGTCCAGCACGCAGTGAAGAAAATATAGCAGCCGAAGTTGAGAGTGTACAGGAAGAGGAGAATCGATTCGGCGCCGTTCGCAGCAAATCGGACAGTCGTAGAGAAGGCGCATTTTGCTTCGTGATATTAAATTGAAAGCTTACAATACAATACAGCTTGTACAAGAACTGAAGCCTTCGCTTCGAGATCACTTCGTTCTATGGGCTCTTGAAACGTGCCAATACAATAAATTCCGATGTTTTTGAGTCAAATTTATCGGTACATTTTTTCTGTAAATCGGTAGTAATGTTAGTAACATCTACTMTAAATTTTTCGTCAAAATATTCTCTAGTATTTGAGATACGCGTCATTGATGATGCTCTATAAGAGAATCTTCGATTTTTACTGTCTGAATATATTGAACCAAGAAGTGCAATARTGCACCATCTAATACTGCATTGGTTATTCGTGATCATTTCACCCCATTTTCAACTAATATCGCACCGCAACCACCGCATCCTCATGACTTCGTGTAACTTCTGGCTATTCAGCAGATTCATATGACCACTCCGAGAACACC